TGCCACTCTGAGCCATGTGAGGCAGAGTAGACAGAAACACTGTCGAGGAGTTGACTTGCCTCCTGCAAAAACTATGCGAGCGCAGGTGTATCTAGTCGTATTATAGTTTTACATATCTTTGGCTTTAGCCTGACGGGAATTCGGAACTCTGTCTGTCTTTCATGATACCTGTATGGAGTTTCTCCGTTTGAAACGTCACCTCATTTGTGCAGTTTGTCCCAGCTGATGGTAAAGATCGATCAGACAGACTGAGGTTACCTCGATCTAAAAGATTATGCGTTTCAAAGGACGATTTGTGAGCCACGAGGACGAGGATGAGGATGAGAACGAGGACGAGGACTGACAATGCCTTCCAATGCCAGTTGAAATATGTTTCGTTTGCGATTTCTGCTTCAGGCTGCCGTTCCGTTCAGGCCACAATCGACAGGCAGGCTTTTTGTTGTTAATAGCGAAGAAGAAGTGCTTTCAGCGGAAATGAGCAGCGCTCTCGAAATGTAAACGTAATTAGATATTCCATACTTCCGTCTTCAACGTGAACTTGATACTCGTCCTCGTCGGCAGGTGGCTGACAGCCTGCCTCGCTCGCTTTTCTGTGCCAGCGGGTCGCGTTTTCGGTGCATGCTGTATTCGACGTCGACGTTCTTTCCAACGAGAGTTTAGATCGATAAATTTGGTTCTTTTCTCGGTCTTTGACTTATGTTTTAGGAATTGAACACGTCAGTGTCATATATTAATTTATAACGGTCGCTCATTAATTAAATGTGGTCTTTTGTTAACGTGTTTTGTTTTGAAAATATTAGAATCTTGAATTATTATACGATTGGGTGCCAGGTCGGTTTCGAACCCGAAACGTGCCTGTTTCGAACACCGAGAGAGGAGAATTTGTCTTAACAGCTAATGCCATGGGCTAGCAAGTCACCCCACGTTGCTCTGGCGCAACCAGCAGAAAAGTTGACACCAGGCCTTGGATTTGCGAACAATAGAGGCAGCGTGGAGGTCTGGTATGGTCATACAGGAGTACACGAGAGTTACGGCTATACTCTCTGAAGGCTGCAACTGGTCTTCACCAGCTTTCTAGCTAAACTTTGCACAGTGATAATCAGCACAAGATTTAAATCCAAAAAAAACTGTAGTATATGGGTCATTTCGAAGGCAGAAAATGTATGTTTGGTTTACGGGACTGTGGATCGTATAAATTGATTTCTTCAACGGGACTTCTACGCACAGATTTTGTTAAAATAAGAATTGACATGTTCAGTTTGCCAATCAAAGCTGATTGGCTTATGCAACTCGCAGCCAACAAGCTTTCACAAATATGTTGGACATGAATGAACGTTGATGAGTGTCTGCGCATAGACCTCTGAAATCCATGGTTGTTTGCCCTCCTGGTTCCTGCAGGGCTCTGGACAGAAACGGCATAGCAAAACCGCCAGATTCTTTCCGTCCACACCGGTAACGTTCTGTAGCTGTTCCTTTCCCCAGCATGCTATATAAACTATCCTGTAAGGCACTGAACGACCATGGGTGACTGACTTGGGTAATCAAATTGCGACTGAACAAAGCGACCTGCATAGTTGATGTCCATGTTTATAATTCATTTTTCTGTTTATATTAATAAACAGGGTGAGCAACAGAATGGCTGTCGTCGTAGAACTTTACTTTACTCTGGCGAAAACAGCCTTAGACGAAAAGAAACATTGGAAATCTACGCAGCTGAGGTAGATAATATGAAATACTCCGGACTTCTAATATTCTATCCTCACGTGATCTGATGAGTTCAAATTTTGGTTCATGAGTGCGCTTGTTGAACTGATGTGCCCTGAATCAAATCACTAGCGTTCTGTCGGACTTCTCATAATATCGGATAATTAATAGTTCATCGTTTGTCATGGCTGATTGCAAAACCGTTCTTCAGTAGCCAACGTGTTATTTCATATACCGCATTATGAAATCGTTCCAATTCTCAATCACAGCGGATGGCTGAAACTAGTACTATGCCTGTCTGCTTATTTGATGCATTTACCACATTTAAATGTCCTCAGTATGGAAACAGAAATTAATCAGC